TTACAAATAGTTTTTCCAACAAACTTCTCAAAAAAGTTCTGCGTAAAATTTGGGACGGCATTACCCAACTATGCGTCAAAACACCTTCTGTCTATCATATCGTGCCATTTTTTGAATTATATCATGTTTTTCCCGTACAAATACGTACCTTCAAAACTATAACCGCAGAGAATTGGCCTTCTTTGTGATTTTTGAAAAGTAACTCTAAATTCAAAAACGACATTTTCTTTCAACCTAATATTCCCATGTCTATGGATTGGTGAAAATCATTAGAACTTCAGTTCACTTTCTGTGGCGCCAATAACAAGAAGTTGTGAAGAGTTTTTGCTCATTCCCCTCCCCCACCCCCTTGCAGTCCTTCGCTCGCTGCAGAACAGCTTTGGCCCGTGAAACATAGTTTCCTTAATTATACATGACAGGTACATCTAAATGATGCAGCGATCAGATGGACCAAACAATGCCAGCAATTACATACATAGCCGGTTGCGTTTGTCGTGAGTGTTGTGCATGTGCTTGTATAAGGCAGAACCATTTCAGCGCTTACGTAATTGGATCCAAACAGAAATGTGCTCAAAAAAAGAAGAGTGTCTCGTTATTCTTGGTTATCGAAGAAATTGATATAGGGAGAAATGCAAAATGGTATCTCAGACATCTCATGGAAATTTCCTGAGGACAAGCGAATCTGACAAACTTCCTGAGGGTTTCAATTAATATAGAGGTGAATGGAAGCGCAAAAAAATGGGAATTTCTCAAAGAACTTTGACATCAAAAGCAAAGCAGATGGGGATGGGAACTACCCAAGAGTTTCCTTGGAGCATTTCGCAAAATGCAGAATTTTCTGAGCACTTTAAACAAGGGTTTTTCCTGAGACTTCCGTAATTCGTGATGCTGCCACTCTGCTTCCTGCGTAAGTGGCACAGAATAACGCTCACTTCGAGTCTAAATCTATTATATGTGATTTTGCACTCGCTAGAATTTCAATCGTCTCCATCTTTTATATCGTCGTGGTTTTATGCTGTGAGTTTTTTTCGCAGTCTCTCCACAATATTATATCGCTGTTCCTGTGATTTTTCAGGATGTCATAAATTCATGAATGGAAAAGCGTTGAAGCATTTTGCGATTTATGTTTGCGAGTAAATTGAAGAGTTTGGAGCCAGGAAGGCTTACTTAATGTTGTAAACAAAGATGTTTTCACAATGTGCACCTAATGCCTTGCCTTTGACTGCTATAAAACTTTGAATGTAGTGATGATCCACTCCAATCAATTTCAAGGTTTTTTATGTTGCATCAACTATAGCGTAATAAAAATTTATTTTGCAAAC